ATCTGGAAACTAGCACAATATGATGTTATCAGTCAATTTTAAAAGATAGCGTACTCACTACCCAATCAAGCACAGTTTAGGTTGATTTAAAATCAAAAACAAAAAATATATATTGACACAATATGAATGTATATATAAAAAACGTATGTGTCTTGTACTCTTAGTCGGTCGCAGTACAATAGTCGAACCTGTCTTTTAAAGAAAAAGCTTTCCCTGCTTGGTGCTGCACCAAACAGACAAAACTTTGAAGGCAGTTATTTTCTCAAGTGGGCGTCTATTGCACCCACCGAGTACTGTGTTACCTATCTGCCTTCGGACTGCCCGAGCTAGACCTACTAAAATCCTCAGGGCAGTCACTTTTCCCAAAAACGTATTATGTTTCAATCCACACCAATGAGTCACACTCTTTTTATTTTAGACTTAGTGTCGCGAATATCCGAGTTCGGACCTGTTTTGTATTAGTCTGGTTCTTTTTGAAAGGCAAGTTACCAGTGCAGTCACTGATACCTAGCCTGTGTATTAATAACCTAATACCTCTCGCTTTTTATTCTTTCTTTCGTTTACCTAAGTCCTTAATAAAATAATATCCCTCCGGATTGGCACAAATAGGACCCTTCCGGGATGTCAGAATATGGACCCCTCCGGATTGGGACCCCTCCGAGTTAGTTAATAGTAGACCCCTCCGGATTTGGACCCCTGCGAATTAGCAACTATAAGACCCCTCCGGATTCGGACCCCTCCGGTTTTGTGGAAAGTAGACCCCTCCGGATTCGGAGCCCTTAGCTCTGTCAAAGTAGCTTTTCGTAGTTTTCTTAATTTCAGCTTATACCCCTCCGGATACGTTCTGCGTTGCTCTTATGCTGTTTGAATTAACTGGGAAGGGTATAGGATCCTTTCCTAGACCCCTCCGGATTGAAGTTAAGGCACTTATTTGACAATTCACACTAACGGTGAAGAGTCTTATCACTTGCCTAATTTCGACTCTATTATGGTTGTCTTGTGCCTTCAGCCCTCCCTTTTTGTCTAGAACTGTCCTAAGTTACTTAGTTCAATCGCTATCAACTTTTGGTAGGGGTATAAGGGTTTTTCAGAAAAATTTATAAAACGTGAAGGGTGTACCCCTCCGGATTTGTGTAATTTGCTAAAAACAATCACAAAAAATTTTCTCGCTCGCTTTTTCGAGTAATTCTCTTTCCTACTAGTAATTTCAGCTAATTTCTGATCTAATGGTACCAAGATTGACTTGATATGCTCTGTAGTTCCAAAGTTATTAACCAAAACGTCTTTTTTCCAAACTCAAAAATTTTCTCTCTTATAGGTTCCGCCCAACTTTTTCCGCAAATCTGGTCCTTTCGACCTAAAAATTATTGATCTGAGCTCACAAGGCCTATACTTTTCTAGTTCAATGCAAAAGACCCGATCTAAAACGCTTTTGTAGAAAAAATTTGCGAAAAACTATGCTACCTGGACCCCTCCGGATTGATGAATCCACCAAATCAAACACGTTATGTTCGATTTCTCTGCAACCCGGAAGGCTTTCGGGTAGCGGGTTTTAAAACTCGTAGATTCACTAGTGGACGTTGTCCGAACAACTATTTTTACTGTCCTAACTCAAAGATTTCAAAAAATTTTCTGATTTTATAGTGTTTCTTACTATCAAAAAATGGGAAAATTTGGTTTTTCGTACTAAACTAGTTCCAACCACTTCCGAACTAAAGTTAACCGGTTCTACTTATTACAGTAGTGCAGTCACGATGTAACACACTAACTTAGCGCTTTTTTCCGTTTCAAAAAATATCGATATCTCAAAAATCGCGACTTGTGGGGGGATCAAAATATCGCTATTTTGACCCTAAAAACCGGTCTGTTTTCGTTGTTTTTCACTGAAAAACGATATAAGACTATTAATATAGGCTATATAAGTAATAATATTAGTAATACTATACCCCTCCGGGTTTGTTTATTATCCGAATTAAGGTGCTTAACTCGGATATTCGCAGTTCGGTGAAGGGTCACTACAGTGCAGCACTGTCGAGCCCCCCACAGATTACTATCTTACTTTTTGTACCAAAAGGGATACAAAACTTGTTAACGATACCCAACAGTCGATTGTTGTTGTCGTTGAGCCCCTTCTTGTTGCTCCTTGTACTGCTTGCCGGATCGGTCTTCACCCAAGACCCTTCCGAATTGAGCGCAAATCAGCTGACCCTTCCGGATTGAGCGCAATTTATCATTAACGTGCTTAAATGCTCAAATAACCCTACAGTACAAGCCTCACAAACGGGCTACAAAACTGATCGTAACGATCCTGACTGATATAAATGCCTGTAATAACAATATGTCTATCAACAACAAACGGGGGGGTTGAATCACATCTTGTCTGGGGGGATGATTTCTACTGATTTTTTACTTTTTTACTGTTTTTGGTTTTTTCGGTTATTTTTTATGTTTTTTGTTTTTCTTGGGTACTATACTACTTTTTGTTTGGTTTTGCTTATATCTTTAAGTGTTTTTGGTCACAAACCACTCAGGGGATGAGGGGTTCATGATTCCCCCCACCCTTCCTGGTTCGTGAATTTTCGGTCTTAACTAGGTTAAAAAACTATTCACGGTAATCCGGAAGGCTTCCGCGTTCCGAACTACCCTTCCGCCCCGGCAGTTTAGGCCTATTAAGGGCGTTAATGTGAGCATCCGCTCGGCGCGGAGTGCTCGTTAACGGTTCCGCCGGTCATGATGTTATGAAAGAATAACACCCAGGAGCGCCATAAAAACATACATGTAACATTCGCCCGGAAGATACATATCGACGGATAACAAAACTAAGTCTTAAGACGACTGGCTAGCGTCTACACAGAGCTTTGCATGTTTTTCACCGTCTCTACCAAGCCAGTACTTTTCGGTGGTCTTTCTTACATCGGGTCGACAAAAACGTTACTGTTCTCCGGCTTCGACCAGAACGCTCAAATTAACTGAATTACATGCAAAAATAGTGAGCTCATGGCTGGGTCTCAGTATCCCCAGACCACGAGGTCACTCCTAAAAACAGGGCTACTACTATTATATTACTATTGTTTTTGTTCAGTAGATAAAAATCATCATCTCCATCGAAGATGGATCAACCCTTTCCCCCCAACTCTTAGCACCTCATCCTTGTCAAAACTAATCCAAATATCAATTAAATTCAAGTCAGGACATGACAGGATGCTAAAAGTTCATATGAGTCAATAAAAGTTTTCCGTCCCGAGACCCTTCCGGATTCTTGAATCCGGTGAATCAAGCTCCTTAAGTTCGATTTCACGACAACACGGAAGGCTGGTTTCTTACCCTTCACCGTTGTTCGCAACGGCCTTGCAACTATTGTAGCAGCACAATAGTTGCAACTCGGAACGCTCTCTGCACTCTGCTGCTGTTTTTCTTCAATTTCGACTTCTTCAATTCCGATAAAGTTGTTCTCGTCAGCGCAACTAACGTTGTTGTTGTTTTTCCTCTCTCGTTTTTTTGTTAAAATGGCCGTTTCAGCATTTCTCAGAAATGTGACGTCATCATTCGAATTTTTGAAATTTTAAAATACTAGAATATTCCAGCCTTCACCGTTTGGCTAAACGTTCCAATAACGCCCTTAGTTCATAAAAACCACCAATCCGGAAGGCTTACTGCTAAAATTCCGAATTCTGCAGAGATTGCATTTTTCACATTCTGGTCGAATGTCACAGTAGTCCAAAATCCGTAACTCGCTGACAAGAGCGGTCACTAGATTTTTTACCACAAACTCTTTAGATATCCTGTAACTCAAAATCTGTAACTCGCTGACAAGAGCGGTCACTAGAGTTTAGGCCACAAAATATTATTACCGCAAAAAAATCCTTTTTAAATTTGTATTACAAAATCCTTAACTCACTTACAAGAGTGGTCACTAGATTTTGTTCAACAAACTGTTATTACAGATTTGAGTCTTTGAGTTTTGAAGATTCGTCGTAAGTTGGTCGGTTTTTGCTTCGATTGCTTCAATTTCTTTCGGAGTTTTCGCGCTTGTCCCGGGTTCAAATAAATACGAAAACTTTCTGGAATTGGAAACAATTCTTGGTCCGCAAGTTTCTTGAGCTTGAAGTTTCTCCTTCGACGTGCAGAAAGTCGTGTTTTCTTCTTGCTGATTTTTTGTTCGTATCCGTCGTAACGCAGGACAACGTAGAAAGTTTTTAATTCTAATGCTGAGGGTTGATGCAATCGTTTGTATAGCTGCTTTAACTGATGTCGCCTTTTCGTGAAGCAATATCCTTTACCACGTCTACCACAGGGAGTCCAGCGTTTTTCAAATCTCGATAGATGTTTGAGGTTTCAGTTCTTTGGCAGTATATGATTGATCGAATACGAGATGAGACAGTCTTCAAAGAATCAGCCAACTCTGGTCTAGTTAGAGGTGAGTCAAATTTGTTGAAGTGGGGTGAGAGAGAGTTGTTTATTGCGTCGTGCCAAATAACAAACTCTTCTGTTGGCTCCGCCTCTCTGATATGCGTGAAGATTGGCTTTCTCGCTTTTGGTGTCCTTCGATGACAATTGAGGCCGCTTGTGATGGCTGATTGATTTACGCCTAGGCTTCTCAAGCGTCTCTTTTTTTGATGTTCTTGAGAATTAAGTGCTCTGAAGAGAGAACTCGCGCCAAGGATATTCATTATAGGGCCACCACGGCTGCCCTCATTTCATTCAATCTTAAAAGACACTATTTAATAAGTTTTTTTAACAATTTTTTTTTACAAATCTCAAATTTTTTTTTACAAAATTTTTATTTCATATCATTTTCTTTTTTTTTACATTTAATTTTTCATGTTATTACTGCTTCATAGACCTTTAAAAGCAGTCGGAACATTCAGGGCTCCATAGAACTTTAACCACTGTCGGCTGATGCAGGGCTTCGCACTTATACAAGCAGTCTTGTTTGTATTCGACATCTTTTTTTACTGGTGCTACTTCTCATTTAATGAAGACAATCAAATTTCAGTGTGAATGTTTCATGAACGATCAATCGACTGGCAATCTATGTTATGTAGTGTTTCGATTTTTCGTGGAAGACATATCCAAATATTCTATTGACTTGCACTACCCACCTGAATCGCGAGCTGAGTCGGCATGGAATGCCATTCATTTTATGAGTAACTATGCAGCCCATGAGAACTGTGATGACCGGACACATTTAGCTTCAGATCAAAGAATAGAGAAAAAACTAACTCTATTTAGCTGGTCAAACTTCTGGGAAATGAAGGAAAATTTTTCGGACGACATGAAAGGCGAATCAGAAACAATGGAAAACGTAAGCAGCGAAAGCAGTGACAAAGCCATGTTTTATTCTGGACATCCTGACATCGAGAAAACTAGAGGATACCTTCATCTTTATCGCACGTCTGATAGCTACTCGATTGAGGATATTGACACTAAAATGTTGGTTGTTCTAGCTATCAGGGCGACTGTAGGTATCGATCAGCTATTGTCCTTCATTCAAGTATTCACTGATGACATACAAAAGTTGCAAATCTTGTTTCAAACTGAAAACCCTTTTTACATGGCATTCATTCTTTTCTTCGATTCCGATAAATGTAAAGAGTTTTATACGCAACTAAATGGTCAAGCCTTTTCTTCCCTTGAACCTGAATTAACATGCCAGTGTGCTTTTGTGCGAGAAATATCTACACACTGCAAACAAAAAAGAAATTACCTGTCTCAGAAAGAATTGAACGAGGCTGAAAACTTGCAGGAACTTCCGCAATGTATTATTTGCTTGGAACGTATGGACGAATCAGTTGATGGCGTTTTAACAGGTCCATGTAATCACGAATTCCATTTGAGTTGCCTTAAGCAGTATAAAAGCACTGACTGTCCTGTTTGTCGTTACTCGTTAGTCCCCGACGCCCAAACTTATTCCGAATGCTTGCAATGTGGAGCAACGGACGATTTATGGCTGTGTTTGATCTGTGGGTTTATAGGTTGCGGACGTTATCTGAACAAACACGCTGTGGAGCATTTTGAAATTAGTAATCACACTTTTGCAAAGCAGCTTGGCAGTGAACGGGTGTGGGATTATGTTCGTGATCAATATGTTCACCGTTTGATTCAAAATAAGGGGGATGGGAAGTTAGTTGAATACACAGTTGAAGCTCCGTTTCAAGTTCCTAACAACGGAGAAGAGTTTGAACCCTCAGAACGAGACATCCGTGGAGAAACTGTGACAGTGTCATCAGATGAAAAATTGGACTCAATTCAAATCGAATACTCCTACTTGATCAGCTCGGAGCTGGACAAGCAACGAGTTTACTATGAGGAAAAATTAAAACACATGGAAATAGAGGCCAAAAATAAGGAGTTGCAACTCGAAGGAAGGCTAAAGGGTGTAATGGATGAAAAAACTGAATTAGAGAAAGAGGTCACACAAATGAGCAGAACCAAAAGTGCCCTTGAAAAGAAGATATCAGACTTGAAAACGAAGTTGGAAATTTCAGAAAAAGTACGCAAAGCGAAGTTCGAGGATGTTGACGAAATGAATAAATCTCTTTTAGCCAATCAGAACGAGTTGAAAAGTCAACTGGCAAAGCTAGAGCAAGAAAAAAAGGAAATGGAGGAGACCAACCGGGATTTAATGTTCACTTTATCGGCGCAGCTAAAAGTTTCAGAAATGACAAGCGACGAAAAAGATGAACTGAGTGCTGCTTCAATTCACGTAGCATCGCCTGAATCCAGTTCAAAAGCTTCAGGAGGCGCTCGTCCAAAACGCAAAACTAATAAACGCTAGATTAGATGCAAATGTTTTGATTAAATAAAATGTAGGTTTGTTTTATGATGCATTAACATTTCTGTAGTTTTTTAAGATTGTCAAATTGATCAGAAGATCAAAATGTAGACAAGAAAATGTACATTCGTCATGTACATTCGTTTTTTTTTTTCAGGCGAAAATGTCAATTAACTCTGCGCACTGTAACGACGGAATTTCCATTTACGCAGACGAGCGAATAATATTCAGAAAGAATGAAGTTTACTTAAAGTTCAAAGGGAGCAACTTGCCGGAATCGATGAGAAAAGAAGCAAGAGGGGCCATGTATTTGACACAGTTCAGAATGATTTTCCTGAGTGAGAAGTGTAAAGGTCCTTTGAAATCATTCAGTTTTCCCTTCCATTCCATAAGTGGTAAGTAATATCTGTTAAATTGATATGTCAAGATAGCCTAGACTATTTGGACCAGTTTCTGACAAATCAATAGCAATTACTGGACATTAATATTACCATGAAGATTAAGTGACACGAATTAAAACTTTCGAATGACAGTGTAAAGGTTGAAAAGGTAAATGATTAGATTCCTCTATTAGTTGTATTTTTAGTTGTATTTAAACCGAGTATTGGTTTTAGATCTGGACATAAAACAGCCATTGTTCGGCGCCAACTACATAACTGCCCTCGTACTGGCTGAAATTGACGGAGGATTCGAGGGTTCTGCCAGCTTCGATTTGACATTCAAAGACGGAGGAGCCATCGACTTTGGCAAACTCCTGTTTAAGACTGTCAAACAATGTCAGGCCCAACCGAGGTGGGTGCCTACTGGTCCCCCCTCATATTTTGATGTCATGGCTGGAGAAATGGGATACCCCGGTCCGGGATACCCTTCTACATCTGGAGGCGCGGGACCCCCCGGATATAGCAGTGCAGACGCTCCCCCTCCAGCGTACGGTTTCAACCCGAACGCAGCTGGTGGCAGTGGAGCAGCTGGCTATGCGCAGCCGCCTCCAGCATATTACAGCGCGGATAATCCTAATACGGCTATGATGCCAAATGGAGGAGCTTCTTCTAGTCATAATCATGATCCGAGTGCACCTCCGCCGTGTTACGAATTTGCCGATGGAGCAAAGAAGGACAATTGAAAAGCGAACTTTCTTAACCTTAATTTGTTCAAGTTAAAGAAATTGGTGTAGTAGATTTAGATGAGAAAATTGATTTACGAATTCTGATTTATGAAGTTTTTTTTCTTTTTCATGCTTGTGGAGTCATCTATATTGAAATAGTTGAAACGAGTATACGTTTTATTTGCTGGAAAACACAATTCAGTTAATAAATTTTGTCTTCATGATCTTTTGAAACAAAATTAAAGAGGTATCAAATGATAAAAGGCGTGAAAATAATTCAAGGCCAGTTGAAAATGTGTAGTTATTCATTGCGAGAGCAAATGACTTGTAATTCAGACTTTTCCATAAAACAATTTTTCGTACGTCTTGCAGCTCTTACTTCTTAGATTTTTTTTACATGAACGACCTGGATTGTGCTGACCAAGTAGAAGCGAATTTCAAGATATTGCATTTCACTCAGAGCCAAAAGTTATATTCATTGTCGGTCGAGAGCGGACTTAATTTTAATTTCACTTTGTTATCCTTGCGATCAGCAAGGCTATTGCAACGGGATACTAGATTTTTCGCCGTAATTAACTTGCTCACAGAGTAGTCAATTCAAAAGGTAACTTAGCTGATACATTGTCATTGTACCGCCTATTTAGGGTACATTATTTATTTTGATGGTGGTATTTGCAAGATTTGGCAACGAAATTTATTGCCGAAAATTTAAAGGATGATTTTCACGGTATTGGGTGTCGGCTTCAATACTGACGGCTCTTTTTTCTGATAGTTTTTGGCCATTTTTTTTGAAATTGATTAATCTTGAAAACTATTTTAAGACAGCTTGAGGGCAAGTTTTCCGACGTTCTTTGGAAAAAAACGGGAATTGTTTAACTTTTTAAACAGTTTTTTCACATAGTTTTTCTTGTTCGATAATTCTTGAGTGACGCTCTGTATATCTGTTCACTCTAGCGAGCTTTAGTGTATCATTACGAACCTTCTTTTTTTCTTACCTAACTCGCAAATAAAAATGTTCATTTATATGGAAATTTCACTGAACCATTGGAAATTGCATAGCTTCTTTTCTCTGCTCTATTCGTAGCTAGCGTTTGTCATTAATTAAGCGTCTGTGGCTGAGTGGTTATTGAGTGAGACTCATAATTGCTAGGTCGCAGAAGGTCGGAGGTTGAATCCGAGACGTAGCCGATTTTTCACTTATTCAGGTTAATTTCTACTTTTCCTTTTGCATTTTATAGAGCTGCTTTTTGACGTGTTCTCGACTAATCAATTTTATCAAGCTTTACGAAATCGGATTTAACATTTTTTTCTAGTTATCTTCACCAGAATGGCTCGGTCTATGAAGTTGCAAATTTTTTAGCTTCTCCGGTACACTTGGTTTAGTTAGAGGTATTAACTACTTATAGGTAAGGCAAATGTCCTTGAATCGAAGACCTGTTTTCTTATCAAACTTAGAATTCCGTTTAAAAACAATTGTCAACCTAATGATTGTCCGCTTATGTTTTCTTGGCTTAATTTCCACGTCACGGATTTTTTTGTGCTGCATGCAATTTGCAATAGCCGCTAGCAATTTCAATGTAATTCAAAGTGTGTTTTAGTGGCCTAATTTTGCATCAATTTCAGGGGAAAACGATTTTACTGTTTTTGAGTTCTTCACTTTGTTTTCGGCTCAATGGGAGTTAATTTAGTTTTTTGTTGACCTAATAACCCTCGATAAAAGTGTCTGAATAGTTATCCAACAATGACGGTTGAGTTTCTCGACGTGTTTTTTTTTAAAAAAATAGAACATCTTTGCAGATAAAACTTTGAAGTTGTGATTGTTTCGATTTTGTTTTCCGTTTTAGTGGCTTTTCTTTCGCTTTCTATCTACTAGCTTGCAATCCTGTATTTTCGTGTTCTCGCAAGTGGTTCGAAGCCGCGCTCCGCCTGTAGGTTAATATATTTTTTTGAACATTTAAGGCTCTTCCACGTTCCCTCAACTTTCAATTATTCTGTTTTTATAGTTGTTTAACCTTTTATTGTGGCTGAAAGCGAGATGTTACGATGGAAGTTATGGAGAATACATCTGCTCGTAATTGTTAACTTGTTTACCATGGCAAGATTTATTGCTTTCTCACTACGTTAAAGTAGTTTTCCTAAATTGTAAGGTTGGAGGGAGTGAAAAAAAAGCGAAATTTAATTATCGGCTTATCTATTGTCAGCTTATCAGCTTATTTTCTGTCTGCTTACTTTCCGAAGATTAAACTTTTTGTCTGATATAGCAATTTTACCGTAATTCAAAGTCGCTCTGTAATTTGTAAATATAAATTTAATTTTGAATAATTTCGCTCTGTACTAAAGTTTCGACATTTGTTAGTTTCGACATTCTTATATTGCGTCGTTTGAAGGTTAAAATTAGGTTTTTATGCTTTTCTTTCTCAGGAGGGATGGCGCGTATAAACTTCCAATTCCAAATTTTAGAATTCAAATTTTTTCCAAACATTTTGTTTTCGGCGCAACAGGCGTCTACCCAAGAGTTCTTGGCTTAGTTGCTGCTCTCTAAATGGCGCTGAATGCTTATCAAATGCTGGTAAATGTGATGTGTCATGTTTTTCTTAAATTGCGTATCCATTCAGAGAAACATTAAAAAAAATTTGCGAATTGTAATCTGAATTGACATTTTCCCCGTCTCATTTCCTTGTCGCTAGCTTGCAATGGTTTGTTTTATCGCAAGTCTTGCTAAGCTACGCGTCTTCTCTGTGCCTGAACGCGAAGCGGTCGTGACATCAAGGTGCTCACAATATATTTTATGTATATAACAGTACCTATATCAGTGGCGTGGACAGGAACTTTCTGACGGGATGGGGTTCGAGATCTGCTGAAACCATGGCCTGAGATCTGCCGAAACCCTTGTTTTTTTTTGGTTCTTTTGGTTTTTCAAAAAATTTACAAAGAAAAAATTTTTAATCTAGTATATATTTAAATGCGGGCTTCACTATTACGCCATCTAAATGCGGGCTTCACAATTTTGCACGCTTAAGCTATATCGTATATTGAATTGCTTTTTCGATTTTCCAATTGTGTTTATTTGACAGAGTTTAAAATTAGCAACCCAAAAGTGCGATACTGTCAGGGTCCCCCAGGGGTTGCCAATTCGGCCTCGAAATGTGAATACCCAAATCTTTTAAGTTTACGATACAGATGATTCTTGTGATTTTTTCGAAAATTTTCATCGAAATTAGATTTCATAAATTTTGTCTTCATGATCTTTTGGAACAAAATTAAAGAGGTATCAAATGATAAAAGGCGTGAAAATAATTTAAGGTTAGTTGAAAATGTGTAGTTATTCTCACTTGCGAGAGCAAATGACTTGTAATTCAGACTTTTCCATAAAACAATTTTTCGTACGTCTTACAGCTCTTACTTTATAGATTTTTTTTACATGAACGACCTGGCTTGTGCTGACCAAGTAGAAGCGAATTTCAAGATATTGCATTTCACTCTGAGCCAAAAGTTATATTCATTGTCGGTCGAGAGCGGACTTAATTTTAATTTTACTTTGTTATCCTTGCGATCAGCAAGGCTATTGCAACGGGATACTAGATTTTTCGCCGTAATTAACTTGCTCACAGATTAGTCAATTCAAAAGGTAACTTAGCTGATACATTGTCATTGTACCGCCTATTTAGGATACATTTTTTATTTTGATGGTGGTATTTGCAAGATTTGGCAACGAAATTTATTGCCGAAAATTTAAAGGATGATTTTCACTTTATTGGGTGTCGGCTTCAATACTGACGGCTCTTTTTTCTGATAGTTTTTGGCCATTTTTTTGAAATTGATTAATCTTGAAAACTATTTTAAGACAGCTTGAGTGCAAGTTTTCCGACGTTCTTTGGAAAAAAAGGGAATTTTTAAATTTTTTTAACACTTTTTCCACAGTTATTCCTGTTCGATAACTCTTGAGTGGCATTCTGTATATGTGTTCACTCTAGCGAGCGTTAGTGTATCATTACGAAACTTTTTTTTTCTTTCTTAGCTCGCACTGCCCTCGTACTGGCTGAAATTGACGGAGGATTCGAGGGTTCTGTCAGCTTCGATTTGACATTCAAATAGGCAGGAGCTATCGACTTTGGTAAACTACTGCTTAAGACTGTCAAACAATTTCAGGCCCAACCGTGGTGGGTGCTTACAGGTCCCCCCTCATATTTTGATGTCATGTCTGGAGAAATGGGATACCCCGGTCCGGTATACCCTTCTACATCTGGAGGCGCAGTACCCCCCGGATGCAGCGTGCAGACGCTCCTAATGTCATATTTCATACTCTATTGCCATGGCTTGTTTTTTTTCACAACTAGTTTTTCATTTTGATCTAGTTTTTTCACCTGTTTTTAGTGTTTTGTGTGTTTTTATAGGTGCAGATTTTCAACACAATCTATATCTATTATATATTTAATTGCAGGCTTCACTATTTCGCCATCTTTAAGCTTTTTCAACGTATTTTTTTGCATGTTTAAGCTATATCGTATATTGCAATGGTTAACAATTTTTTGATTTACCTGTTTGATTTCTGTAGTTATTTAATCGACTTTTAAATAAGCAACCTAATAGTGGGATGCGGTGAGGGCTCCTTCTGGGGTTGCGAGTTTGGCTTTCAATTATGAATACAAAATCCTTTTACTTTATGAGATAATTCAGTTAATTGAGAACGCAATTGTTAAAAATTCAAACATGTTCAGAAAACTAAGATTAAAAAACTTTCGCTAAACTTGAAATTACCAAACCTGTAGTCAGTTGTTGTCGAGGTACGCTAATGGATTGTAAATTATGCCTGATTTTCTCAACTCTTTGACATGGTGCTGTCAGAGTACATTTAAGGGCTCAACTCTATAATGGGTGCTGCCAACTTCCAAATCTGCCCTCTAAATATGACAGGTCAAATTTTCAAAAAATTTAGATGTCAGAAAAACTTTCGACACTTTGGAATATAAACCGAACTTGAACTTCTCAATCCTATGATGCGGTGTTTTAAGGGAAAATTTAGGGAAAGTTTCAGGGTACAAATGTGGCTTCTCATTTTTTCTGTTCGAGTCTTTGTTGTCCGAGATGAGTTTTTCAATTCTTTTTCAAAAAAATTTAATTAAAAATTAAACGATTCAAAAAAACTAATTGAAATTAATTCTCAGCCGTATGGTGGGGCGCTGCCAGGTTACAATTTAAGGCAGCAATTCTGCATTCTAAATTTGACTGCTCAATTCCTTTTTGTTTTCGAGTTGTGGCGTTTTTTTTGTTCCTATTTTATTTTTAAGAAAACTTAGACTAAAAGAAAACTAATAACCCTTGCGATTCTGAACTCTATTATGGAGTGCTGTCAGGGTACACTCAGGGGTTGCAAATATGGTCTTCAAGTTTGAGTGCTCAAATATTTTCAGGTTCTGAGATATGGTTTCTTTTATGGGTTTTCATATTTTGTTTCAAATCTGCCCTCCTCCAAATATGACTGATCAAAAGCTTTCAACAGCCGAGATCTGCTGTCGATTTTTTTAGGATTCTTTTTTGATTTCAAAATTCTCTTGTCTGATGAAATTCAGTTGTTTTGGAGACATGACGATTTTGGTCAAAAATGATCTACAATTAATTTTATAAATAATTCAAATAGGAAATGGAAACCCCTGATGGATGAGCCGAGTTTATCTTCGCGGTTGCATAAAATATTGCTCTTATTGTACATTTTTAGAAAGCTCTATTCACGTTCGCATATTTGAAGCACCGTAGATGCGAGTCATGCCATAGTTTTTGATCTCTACTTTTTCTATTGCATTTTTTCTTGTTTTCCTCTCAATAGTTATTGACTTACGGTCTTCATTCGATGTTAAATTTTGATAGCATATTTGATAGCAGCATTTTCGGTACAAATTTAACTAATGGTTTGAAGAGAAATGAAAATCAACAAAAAAATTGCCTTCTATTTTTGACACTATAGTGATAATGAAATTCAGAGAGAACGAAGGTCTTTATTTGAAAACTGAAAACAGATAGGAAACTATTGAATAAAGGGAGCTATCAAAAAATCAGATAATTGGGTATCCCTTTGTCATTTTTGCCCAGTTGAATGTAAGTGGGCTGAGATAGGGTTATATTATTTTCATTTTCTACAATAGGGAATTCTTTTGCTCAAACTTTAATTTATGAAGTTTTATCAGTCCATATTAAAATTTCCTTTTAAGCTACTCGAAAATGTTAGAGAAAAGTGCCTTGGCTCTGTGTGATTTCTTCAATTCATTTTTCATTGGGATTATCAGGGGTCACAACCAATTTTTATCAAGGAAGTTGTTTATTTAGCGAATAGACGGTTAACATTCCTACTTTTCCAGATTTACTTCTTACTACTCGTTAATTGAGGGAACTTTTAATTTCGAACGTTTGGATGTTTTTTTGTTTTTTTTTTGTTGCGAAAAACAAATACTACTCCGGAAACTATTTTGTCGGATTTTTGTGACAAAAAGCCGGTGAGAAAAAGGAAAGACCATCGGCGGGTTAACATTAGGCTTAGCAAAGCAAAAAATATCAAAATTAATGAAAAGACATTTGTGATGTTTGTTTCTTTATAGAAATATGAAACAAGTTGAACCACTGAAAAATATAGACGAGCTCTTGAGCTGGGGTTGTAGCTCCGAAGAGGAACATTTTCTTTCAAAATTACCCGGCTTGCCCAAAATTTATTCTGGGTTGCCAAATCGAAGGCGCACAATGGTATGTCACGACTTCAAAGGCGGCTATAGAAATGATAATTTTGTTCAGATCTCGGATTGCGAAAAATGCGACTTGCAAAATGATTATATTTTCTTTCATTGGGATTATTGCGACTTGTTTGTCTATTTTTCGCATTGTCTGGTTACGATTCCTCCGATTGGATGGATTTGTGCTGCTCATCGTAATTCGACACCTATTTTGGGAACTTTCATTACCGAACATAAGGTAGAAAAAATAATTTCGATGTAATTTTCAATAAGACTTTCGGGAGAGGGTAATGTATATTTATACTTGCGAGAGCAAATCTATTGGGCACGTTACACTCCCCTCCCCCCATATTTGATTTTCAAGTTTGAAAAACTATTTTAGGGCTGTCAATTTAATGGAACTTGACATGTTAAACAAACTAACTTTGTGAACACATTTGTTCTTCGTAGCTTTTATCGTAACATCAAGCGTTTAGGAATTGTAACAATTAAACCAACTTATAAAAAGAGAAAATTTGATTTGTAGGGGGAAGGGAGGGTTTGAAACTTCTGGCCAATTCGTTCTTGGTGTCGTTGTTGGCCAGGACATGTAATTTTTCATAAGGGAAATTTTTCTTTTCAAAAAAATTGTCGGCCTTTTGTTTATGGCCTATTGTTTGATATGAAAAATGTATTTTTGCAAAAGGGATATTTTTCATTTCAAAAAAATTGTCGGTCTTTTGTTTATGGCCTTTTGTTTATCTGCTTATGTTTTGTCTGCACTTGATTAATGTTTCTGAATTGTTAGTTAACATCGGCTGTGGTGTTTTTGAACATGTCTATCCCAATTCAATTCAGACTAAATTTTGAGATTTTAGTAGGTGGGCTTTTTGGTGGGAATATCCGCCTGCCCTCGATTATAATTGATTGTCAGGTATCGTTTAGTGGCAATACCAATAAGAGACAATTGGTTACCGAAAAAATATCCTTTCGCCCTCAAGCTGCTTTTGTTGCCAGGTACAGTGCAGTGCTGATTTAAATTATCCAGATAAAACACAATAAATTTGGAATTTCAAACGCGTTTTTCTCAAATTGGGATGAGTTTAGACAAAAAGTGACGAAGACAGTACTTGCTTAGAATTTTAGCAGAATTAATTTGGTTCAAATTTTTGCAAGATTCAGGTCCAAAACTTTGCCCTAAAAGAGATTATTTTTGTTTTTTTCAGTCAATCAAAGTTGCGCCAAAATTATCTTGTCGGTCACTGGCATAATTACTACACTTGAAATTGCTATCCGTAAATAAGTTTTCGTTCACATTTCTAAGAAATTGTGATTTTGCTTTATTAAAGAAACTCAGCATTATGGAGACCTTTCCCCACTTGGCTTAGAGGTAAGGCGGATGTCTTTGTACCCTAAAGTCTTGAGTTCGAGTCCCGGTCGGACCTCGACTTTTTCAGTATGAAAAAATTTGAAACTTTTGTACGGGAAAAATTGAATTGCCGGACTTTCGTTTGTCCGCTTATGTTTTGTCTGCTTAGTTGCCACATCGAGGAAATTTTCTTGTACTGTCAGCAATTTTCATCGTATATGCAAGTGTTTTTGGCTAACTCCTTTTATTTGTAAAATTAATACCCCTTACCCCTTTGTTGTATATTTTCCTTGGTTTTCTTTTTTTTCGCTTTAAAGCTTTATTTGGCCTAAATGGCTTCGGTTTATTGTTTATCGGCTTAGTCACCCTATTTTGTGCCGCTTCAAAAGCAAAAAATGATCGAGTCTTGGAAAATTTAGATTGTGATGGTAGTTCTCAAAGTTTTCAAACTTAATTGCTCAAATTTTTTTTATGACAACAATTTTTTGAGGATTTTTTTTAAAATTCGGATCAATTTGGCGTCTACCTACTTGTTGTCGGCTAAGGTGCCGCTTGATAAATACTAAAAGCTTATTTAATACTGGCGGTTGTGTTTTTCTACTGTTTCTCTAAAATATTTTTTATTTATGAGTTAAATTGTCAGAATGTGAGTTCTTTTTTATCCCCCCCCCGCCTATTTGAGTGTACTTTTTGAAGCCCAAATAACATTAACTAATCATTGACATTGTGTAAAATAAACCATTTCCGTATAATTCGCATCGTTAATGCCAAGGAATGGGCCATAATATAGCTCAAAATTCCTATGAAGATGAATGATATGCAATCTTGAGATAAAAGTAGAAAACTTTATAATTGGTTTCCAGGCAGGTTACGAATTGTGCTGTCAGCTTCTGAAGGACAAATCAGTATCAGAGAGATTGGCGGACCAGTTGGTCCTCATTGCCCAGAAGTACAAATTGCAGGGATGGTTGATAAACATAGAGAACAAATTGGACTCAGAGCAGATTCAGCCTCTATTAACATGGCTCAAGTATCTACGCACACAAGTTAGTGCTTACTTAGTTTTTGAGTAGAAGTGTGATACTTGGGTCTCTAGGAGAAATCCAGCATGTAAGATGAATCCTCAATTATTGTCAAAATAACCAATTACAATTGAATTAAGGTGTAGGATTTTTCTAATAGTTTTAGGGTTGATAGTTTTAGGCAGTAGCGTCCTAGGGAGGATTCTGGTTGCTCAATTTTTCCAAATTGTCATCTTTACGACATCCATTTTTGTCTGACCAACCTCAAAATTGATCTAAAGGCGTCTTTGGCCCCAATATAACTAATTTTGAGGGGGAACGCGCGCCGAAAAAACGCAATTTTTTGGCTAAAATTTTGGCCAGATTTTTGAAAAATTTGCCTGCTGCACGGAAAATTCTTGACAAAATAAGGTCTTTATATGGTTTTTGGTTACCTCGGAAAATTAAATTGATTGACCTATAAAAAAATGGTCCGCAAAATTTTCCGAAAAACCGCCACCCTTGAAAAATTTCTTCGCACGCCACTCATTTTAGGGTTGAAGTACCCATTTTTTTCTCAGGGATCAAACAAGCTTACTTTTTCTTTATTCTGTTCTATATTTTTACCAATAAATTTCTCTCTGTGGATAAATAATGGTAACTGTTTCAATTTTCACTCAGTTTCATTTTTCTCCTCACTAAACATATACATGGTCCGTGATATATCTGTACAAACTGAATGTTAGAAAGAGCTCTTTAAGGTTAACTGTTTTGACCCCTAGACCACAATGCTGGTGTGACCAAAGTTAGTTCATCCAGTTTGGTGTTGTTACAACGGGACATTTGACCTGTTAACGGGATAGCGACGTTTGAATACGCCCTTGGTCCATCCACTTCATCTGTATACCTGTATAAATATAATTATGTCTGACAAAATTCTGACATTGTTTGCAAATATTTCACATTTAAACAACTGAAGAAATAAATTATTTCTTTCTGACTGATATAACGGGATTATTGGTGTTAAGCTGCACGACAATGTGCCTCATAGTCATCTGGTGTGGTACGACAGCGTGAGAGCAGACAATGGTAAACTCCAGTGGCAGGACGAACTGAATGGTCTAAACATGCCATTCTATCAGGCATGTGACGCAATCTACCTCAACTACTGCTGGAATGAGAAAAAAGTGAAGAACTCTGCGGAGAATTCGAAACCAAAAGAGGTGAGATAATTAAAATGCTTTTTGTTCCTATCTAAAAGTCTATGAACGATATCTAGATCTGAATGGTTCTAGATTCGAAACTTGAACCTATTAAAAACTTTTCATAATATTACTACAAGCGTTATGCGTCGCTTCATAATAAGATTATTGCGTATATTGTCTCAGTCATCCCTAAAAAAACGTTTATAGATGTGATTCATATCTCAAAAAATGCCCACAGCAACCTGCTTTTAAACAAAATTCGACAACTAATTGAAACACCTGTGGGCTAATTTTTTCAGGTAGAAAAGAGAGTTCGGTTCGATCATGCTGAAGATCTCATATTCAGATTCGACCGAAATGATCTCAGAATCACCGCTTTTCGACCCACCCTGAGAGGATCGAATGAAGGGATCGGTCGAATCATGGGTCGATTTGCTGACCGGAAATCATAATTAATAGGCGGATCCCTACAATTTAAAGATCCAGGGGCTCCCACGAAAAAAGAAATTTTTCGAATGTTTTGTAACAAAAATCGCTCGGTTTTTTGTCTTACAAATTTCAAGCGATAATTCTTGCAATATTAAAAAAAAGTTAGTCGATAAACCAAGCGTTCGTTTCTATGATTTTCCACTTTTGTGAAACTTATTTTGTTCACGGCAAAATTCACATTAAAAGATGACAATGTTTAACAGTGTCCGGCTAAGTCGACTAACAACATAAAAATTGGATATAGTTCGACGCTAAAAGTTGAAAAGGAACATCGTTTCGGCCGAATCTGAAGTCGAGCAACTCGACACAGGGTGGTACTAGTTTAAGTGTTATGTCTTCAGATGATCAAGGGCGGCTGTAGCAAAGTTGAATGAGTTACAATTCGATCACTTTCATACAGGGGGTTGCGCAGGGTCTTTCGCAAATTGTTTTTTTTTTTTGGGGGGTTGCGCCGCATATCTAAATTAGTGCTTTTGAAAAATTTAAGTGTCATTTGGCCAAAAATTAATACCAAATAATTGTCAGTTTCTGAAATGAAGGAGCGGTAGCTTTCTCCACCTTGCCAAAAGCCGCCCCTGAATGCTGATTTTACCTGCGATTTGCACATGCTTTGTAACTTAAGCAGACTTGAAATATTGAACTAACTCCATCAAGATTTTTGTTTTCTGTATGAATACTGAATAATGGTTGATATGAGCTAAATAAATGATGTAGGTCAATAATGGCGGTACCGACCAATTGTCACAGACGGGTGCACTGAAAGGTCCCTATGACGTGTATGTTGGACTGGACGTGTTTGGAAGGGGGTGTTTTGGAGGAGGCAAGTACAACTCGGACAAAGCTGTCATAGGTGAGCTTCTAAAGTAGTTACTTATTAGCAGTAGCAGATTTAGGGGGGGGGGGGGTTGGTGAAGTGCGCCCCTCTCAGGGATTCGAACCCTTTGACTACTCAAAGGGTCGTTCCCCCTGTGGTACCATTTTAAGACCTCTATTTTTGGCTGGCGGACCATTAAAATATTCTAAAGGCGCCTTACACGCCAATATATAGTAATGTTGAGGGGGAGAGTGAACCAAAAAAAACGACTTTTTGTTCTAAACTGTCCAAAAAGTGGCTGAAAACGCCTTTTTGGCCTGTTTTTTTTCGAAAGTTGCTTGCGGCTCAAAATTTGGCGAAAACGGTCTTTTTAGTGCTCTGGGAGTGCTCAAAAATTAATTTGGTTGACCTAAACAAATCCGCCCTTACTCGAGAAAACCCTAAATCCGCCCCTTCTTATCAATCTCTATTTTTAAGATTAATCCAAGTATTTGGTAAGATTTAGATGAAAGGAATTGAGGATGGGTCTTCCGCTATTTTTGGCTGCCGAAAAAAATTCGTTTTTTGTTGCCGTGGCATAATATATTTCTACCTAAATGTTCAGATTTCACCAACTTGGGGAATAACTGAATAATGTTTTTATGGGAAAATCAATGAGACTGATCGAAACGAAGATATTTAGTTTTGTTAAGTAAAAAAGAACCAAATGATTTTTCACTTATATAGGTCTAAAATTTGTTCACGCTCGAACTGATTTTTCTCGGTTTGACTTTATTTTTAAGTTCACTTCATTTTCTTTGTTAAATGAAGGCGAAATCCACTATCGAACAGCAAAAGTGTAAAGTTCACGAACATTGTGAATGACTCAAGTAGTGTTGAGGCGCGTCGGTAATGATGGTGCCCAACAATCATATGATTGCGGGTTCAAATCGCACGTTTGCTGCTATTTACAAGGTGAGCTCTTGCAAGATGGCCATAGCTTAGTCAGTCAACTGGAAATAATTAACCTTCTGGTTAGGCCTCTGGCTGGTTAACTTAAAAAAAATGGATATTGATTTTCTGATTTCCCATTGGAATAAAAAAATTACCTAGTGACCTAGTTTTCACTAAATGGGATATTTCACTAGGAACGTGCCAGTCATAATTAGTATTCAACTTAAAAGAGCTTCAACGTGGCGTTTTATTTCTCAATTTTTTCAATCATTTTTTTCGGTTTTCTGGTTCTTTTCTCTTTTCCTACTGTCGGATGGCTATGTTTTTTGGCTATTCATGAGATAAATGTTTAGGACGATTTATCCACAAAGGAAAGGACCGACATACGAGCTGTTCAGCTCTTAACGGATAACCGCTGTTGTGCCACTGGTTAAGATTTACATGCAATTTTTTTGGCTATTTTTCTGGGCTGGGTAATCTTGCCTCACCCCCAAGCAACGAGCACGGATCATGGTGGGCCTCGGATATCCGACCTTTCGATTAAGAGGCGGAGACGTAACACACTTCACCGCCGCTCCCCTAAAGAGCTTCAACTAGGTGTTTTATTATTCTTCAATTTTTTCGATCTTTTTTTTGGTTCTCTGGTTCTTTTCACTTTTCCAACTGCCGGTTGTCTGTTTTTTGGATGTTAATTCATTTATTTTTTAGTATGTGCTAAATTTGACATATCTTTGGCAATATTCGCTCCTGGATGGTCGCTCGAATGTGCCTCTGGTAAAATTCAGTGCGATAACTCGTTTCTAACAAGAGACAAAACTTTGTGGAGTAAAATGGAACCTTATCTACCTGCTAAAGAATCAACCATGATCGATCTTCCATTCGAAACAAATTTCAATTTTGGACTCTGTCGGAATCAAAATGATGGAGAGAGTTTCGACACAGCTCTTTACTCCTTATGTTCGACTGCAACGTTCCCCGCAAATGCGCTCAACTACATGACTGGGTTAGTAGCAAGGTTTTATTGTGGGATTTTCTAAAGGATAGATTTTGGGCCACACTTACCCAGGCATACCAGGTGTGACAATTTGAACTTAAACTTCATACTACAGAAACAGTATTGTGAGTGTTGCCTATATTTTAGGTTTTGCGATCATGCCAGCTATATGACAATTTTTATATACAATTGTTATAATTTCCGCTTTCCCAAAACGTCAAAATAATATTATTCCAGGAATGTCAAATATCAAGGACTGGAATTTTCTGAAGGGATCTACCTCGGATTAGACGAATTGCTGAACCAAAATTGCATGTCAATTGCAAATTTGAAGTTTGACGGTGCTGAACAAATAAATTTAGAGGTTAATTTCGAATCTTTGATTGAAGGTGGAATTTTGTCTGCAGATATTGAGGTGGCAGATAAGCTTGGTGGCATCTTTGTGTGCGCAGTTTTGTTCGGATTAGCTGACAAAAATGATTTACGTTCATCGAAAATCGAAAGAGTTCAAAAGAGCTTGTTTAGAGAAGATGGCAATAAAATAGAGCAAGTTAAGTTATTTGTGAAGATTGAAGCTGATTTTGTGAAGACAGTTGATACAAATAAAAGTGGCCCAATTTTGAAGTTTAATCGTATAAAGTTAATTTAAATATATTTCTGGTGATGAATTTGAAAAGTTTTATTTCCTATTAGACGATGTTAAACTGAATCAGGCGGCAAGCTCATTTTGAAAACTTTTATACTTATTTTTTGAGTTTTCCTGTAATTTTGAATCTACCGTTTGACATTTTTTGCTTGTTTGCGAAGTGTAGCTTCGTATATGTTCAAAACTTACTCATCATTCACTGAGTCACCAATATTTACACGGGCAAAGCTTGTGTGATAGTATGAACTCTTTTTTTCCAACGTAAGTCGCAAATATTGTTGCGACAAAATGTAATCATTTTGAAAGTGTTCATTTTGATCAATAACCATCTATCAAGTACAGCCCATGCTAAGGATATTAACACCTTCAACGTATCATGGATCTGTAGCGTAGAGGTAGGGAAGGAGACCCACAGCAAAAAAAAAGAGGATTCGAACCTGGGCAGGTCGGATGTTTTTCATGAAGTTTTTCGTATACTAGTTAAAATGCGTCACTTCTATAAATTCAGGCAAGTTAGTTGGTAAATTTTTTTTTTCAAATTGACTGGTACTCATTCATTTTTTCCCAGTAGCATTATCGGTCATACTTTTGCTTGCGTGTGCGAAGTGCAACTTCACATCTGTTTTTAAACTTTTATCTTTTTCTCAACACTGAAAAAGAATCGAATATTGCGAGGCTCGCATCAATAAAAAGAAATCTTGTGCTGCATTGTAGTTTTTACAATACAATTCTTTACAGTAGGTGGCAGATGCAAATGTTTTAACTCAGCTGAGCAAAAAAGGCTGGTTCTCGCTAGGATTCGATATCGGGCGTTTGGTCCTACTGTCAGATGTTTTCAATCAGTCTGCGAATTGTGCAGTGACAAGATTAGACTGAAACTCATAACCTAGAAATACTTGTTTGAAACTCTCGTCAAAACTTTGATATCATATATTTTCTCCTATCTTTTCATTTTGTTTAAAACAGTGGCAAAGAGTTCAAGGATAGTGCGAAGTAGAAGAGAAATTGACGAAATTCTTAATTATGTACGATTATTTTCATTTACTTATTAAAGACGAAATTCACGTTGATGATATTATCCCCTTTTCCCCCATCATTACCCTTACGATAAGCAGGGGTGTAAAAAACGGGTACAAGGTGTTTTCCCCGTAAATAACTTAAGGTACAGAATAGTCAAATGTATAGGAATGGTAAATTTCAGACGTTCTCAGTTTCTTGAAAATTCGAAAAAAAACTACCTTCATTTAGGTATTAAAGTAAATAGGTGTAGTCCGTTTCCGGTGTTAATTTTTTTCAAATAATTTTCATGAAAGAATTATTTGAATTTAAAAAATTGATTTTTTTTCGGATTCGTGGTTTTCAGCCTAGTTTCCATCCGTTGTTTTCCTGTTTTTTAAGTGAACTTTGTTTTGTTTCTTACTGTTTTTTTCGCCTTTTTGTTAGGCATGGATTTTATTTCCGATTTTGAAATCTTTTTACTCGTGTTAAAAGTCTGTAGTTGTAATTTTACATTTTTATTTTTATAATTGTTGGACTTCCGTCATTTTGCTTAAATTTTGTCGGCTTAGTTGTCACATCGCAAATTTTGTTTTTCCTGTAAGCAACTTTCAATGCAAGTGCAAAAGTTGTTCTTTGATGGTCTAGGGAAGTGGACTTGAAACGTTTTAAATAAATTTGTTTTTCGGCTCAGCAGGTGTCTGCTTAAAGCCTGTCGGCTTAGTTGTCATATTACTGATTTTTCTCTGTAGGCAACTTCCTTTGTAGTTGAAAATGCAAGTGTTGTTCATTCTTGTCTCAGGTGGGACTTCAAACTATTAAGATTTTTCATGAAATCCTTTTTTCCGCTCAACTGCTCAAAGACTGCCTGCTTTATTTTGACTTCGCAAGCTAATTTATTTTTAAATTTTTTGTTATTTTAGGCTAAAATGAACTTCTATCAAGACATTGGAAAGTTAAGTTTTTGGTAGAATTAGTTTTTTTCAACGTTTTCCATTTTTTTCTACTTATGTTTTTTATATTTCTGTTTAATCGCAAGTTGTGCGTAGCTCCGCTTCGCCTGTGTGGGAAAATTGAAGCAAATTTTGGGGTCTTGGCCCTTTCGCATTTTAAACATTACTCTTCAACAAATTCTAGCACGAAACAAAAAAAAAGTAACGTGGTGGGGCTATATATTTTTGTTACTCGGGTTGAGGTGCACTGATGGTAAATTCGGAGCGTTTGTGTTAAAAATTTTGTTAACAATTTCCGGATACAAGTTTCCAACATCATGTACCCAAAGTCATGCCAAGAATCATGTGAATAGATAATAATGTAGGTCATTTAATCGATCATATTGTACCCCTTTTAGTCGTAATTTGAACGACATAACAAAATTTCCAGAAAGTTTTCTCCGCTTCGACAAAAATTGATCTGATGAAAAATTGAACTTATGATTTGTCTAATTTTGCGCAAATAAAGCGAGCGAATAGGCTTATAATTTAGCGATAAGCGTTTTTTTAAGATTTCAGTTTTTTTTACCAGTAGAATTGATTCTTGATGTTTCTTATTCTTACTGGAGTTTTTTATTCAATTTGCAGGATTTTTGTATTCGTTTCTTTTCATTTTTTTCAAAGAAAATTCTTGTTGAATACGCCAGCTTAATAAAACTATCGAATATGTCAGTTTCAGTAGAATTAAGTTTCAAACTTTTGTTTGGATCACTTCATCACACCACAAGGAAAAAACGACGCAATTTGAAAAAAAAAAGAAAATTTATTTTAATTTTCTTGTTCATTTTGGTTGGAATGTTTTGCGCTAGTTGCAGAGCACCTGTTTTCTTTTGTTAATTTTCACGTTCATTAGTCTAATATACGACTTTTTCGTTGTTTCTTGTTCATTTTCGCTTTTGCTTTGTTTGCTTCCCTCCAGTTTTAAACTAGAAATGTTAGGAAATCTAGCTTGTATCCTAGCAAATTTAACCACACATTGATATCGTTTGGTCAAATTGCGATAGTTGTATCAAACCATAGAAAACCATAAACACATTCCTTGAAGTTAGAAGGGAGTCAATGCGATTTTTTCAACTACGTAGAACAAGCTGAAAATTGTTCTAAGAAAGTCGAAAAGTTTAGTTTTTTTTTGCAGAACTTTGCTATGAAATTAGGCTCAGAAAAGATAACTAATTTCTGTTAAATATAGGGCAAGAAGCTTAGATTAAATTTTTGGGAAAAAATGACATTAAAAATCATAATAATGATAAACATGAAAAATTCGAAATTCAATAAAAAAAAATGGATTGACTTACACATCAAATAATATTTTTTGACAATTTCTGTTTCAGATTTGTTGAATTAGTTAATGGCTATTAGGTTAAAGAAGCAGTTCAAGTGTCTTGTGGCTGGGCAGGAGTTCATCAACATCAGACTGAGACTGAGTTACGAGGGATGTCGCAACAGAGAGTACTACAAAATAATCTGTTCCTATCAGGTGAGTGGAGTATACAATGGAGAATGGAAGGAGAGTTGAAATAAAGCAAACTTGCGACAGAAGTGTAATTCATTCAATTGTTTTTGGTGAATTGAACTAGTTCCAAGGCAAAGTATTATATCAAATGGAAAGTTAAGGATTTCTATTACATGTTGGTTAATTCGGTGCTTTACTGTTCTAACGTTGAAAATGTGATCGACCAACGCCATAAAAGTAATCGAAGTAAGTCATCAGGAAACGTGGAACAGCACCATTGGGTGTTCAACAGAATGCCGCATCTACAACGAACGAGCTCTCAAATGTCAAGTTGTTTTACATGTCAAATTTATTAGAAATCGATTTAAAACTGGCTCGCGTCTTGCAGCTCGCAACAAAAACCAATCAAAATTCGAATAAACATTATCGATAGGTCCTACTTGATATGAACTAAATCGGTAAGTGGAAATTATCGCAACTTTTAATAGGTGCCCGAAAGATTTGACAAGAAGCGACCGAGACACAGACCAATGGAGGTGTTGGAGGAGCTGGGCTGGATGGACTATCTGGCAAATGCACAAGGTCACCGACTGTTTGCTTTAGATGTCAGCCGGATAAAGCACTGGCTGGCACTGGGAGTATACCCAACGAAACCGGTGGCTATGGCATTAGGTTCATACATAATTTTCTCATCGATTATTTTAGAGAAGTGTCAAAAAAAAAATTGCGTATATGCGAAGCTCAGCTTCGCAAATAAGCGGTACAACACAAACATAGCATTGGAAGCTAGCGGACAGAACATGGATGTCACTCTATCGAAGAATAATTTTAAAAAAAGTCGAAAATGAAGTTAGATCTAGAGAAAAGTCATACATTTATCGCATGATGTTCATTTTGACTAAAACAAGTCAAAGAACACTTGCACCAGCAATGAATAAGCATTCAAAATCATTATGTGGACAAATTAAACACGAAAAAGCATAACAATTTATATTTTTTCAAATCAAGCCAAAAGAGGTAACTTAGCCAATAAAACATAAGCCAAAATCATTACGCCAAAAAAAAAGAAAAATAAAAGGTAATTGTACAAAATTATAGTTATAACATTACACAACGAGTTTCAATTATAGTTCAAATCGCTTGAATCAAAAGAAAAGTCATGCTTTGAAGAAATAAAGTCAGATGCTTTATGAACTTAAGCCGACAGAAATTAAGCAGACAAACGATACTCCGACAATTCATGTTTTCCCAAAATAATTTTCAATTTCCAAACATCCGAATCCGACACTGCAAAAGTTTCAATAATTCGAGGCTCATTTTTACTTTTTCTTCACTTAAAGGAGTTCCGTTTTGTCGTTTTCTGGCTATTGTTTGCGAAGCGCAGCTTGGCCTCTGCGTAACAAACTATATATTATATTATTTTTTCGATGTCTTTAAGTTCATGGACATTTTTTCAGCTTTCTGATGCCGATGTTTCTTGAAGGTCATCTTCAACAACATTCAAAGAAAAATCATGCAAAAAACTTATTTTTCTTGAACCAGTTGAACCATTTTGAGCAACTTTCATAGTTTAGTCATGATTTATAGTCATGTTTAGTCATCTTTGCAGGTCTGGCAGGGATATTGCCAGTACACCCAGAGTCTTACTTAATTGCAGCCAGGAATAGAGATGAAATCAAGAAACTGAAAGACGAAGAATCTGAAATTCCAATTTTGATTGAGCCTGGCTATGACAAGCAGTATTTCACTTCAGCTCTGGATGTTGCATTGAAAGCGAAAAACCTTGGCGATATGTGGAAATATTGAACATTATTTTTGTCCATTATATAATAATTAAAGTAACTATAGTGATTTTTTTTTTTTTCTTTAGTGGTTTTTTGTTTTTTTTCTTCAGTGGTTTTTTCGTTTTTTTCCCATGAGATAATAGCAGAGATGATAGTTTTGCTAGCAAAATTGTTTGATTTCATTTTTACCTGGCTACTGTTAAAATAGCTCTTTGGTGTAATTTGTAAAACAATGACCTTTGCGTGAAGTTAAGCCAAATTTTTTGTCAGTCTCCTAGAGTAATTTTTGGAGAGTTGATTTTTTTCGATTGTTTCCATTTCTCGTCACATGTAAATTTCAATTTTGTAAAAATTTTCAAACATTGTCTGTAAAAATTTTCAAACATTGTCAAAATACAATCAAACTATGCTCTTTAAACTACAAATTTTTGTGAATACATTTTTTCTTCATACTTCACATCGTATCCTCAAGCGTTTGGACATAATAACAGGTTTTAAAAAATTAAAAACAAAAAATTTGTAGGGAAATTGAAACGCCCGTCCAATTCGTTCTTGTCGTTGTTGGCCAGGACAGGACCTGCAATTTTTCAAAGGGAAATATTCCATTTCCAAAAATTGTCGGCCTATTGTTTATCTGCTAGTCACGCATTCAGTCATAAAAACTTGTAAATCATCAAATAAATTGAAAATTTTGAAATATTGATAGAAAAGAGCAAAAAAGTTCTTTTTAATTCAATTTTCATTTTCAGTACGTAGAAACTTAGGCATAAAAATGATCCCATATAGGACAAGTTGGCATAGGGCCAATTGACTTGGCGCAAATAGTCCTGACACCTTAATTTCAGCTGTCAATTTTTATGGATTATTTCAAAGTGGAAATAAATTCAGTTTGTCAAGAAAAATCCATATTTTTAGTTTGAATCGTTTGATAAAAATGACTGCAAGGAAACGGAGCAGTCAGAGACTTCTCATGTTCTGCCTTTCAGTCGTTTTTTTATAATCATGCTGCAAAATGAAAAAAAAAATTGCAGACTGTCTGCTCGCGATGGTTCTCTACCGCTATTTAATTTTCACCTACTTTTGCTCCGATGATCAGAAGGAGTAGAATAACAAACAATTCCGGACACAATCACGCGAGAGATCTATCATACTACTTGCGCTGAAGAAAGAGAGATAGCTTTTCTCGCAAACACTTTGAAGACCATTTTCTTTTTATCTGTCAATTTAAACACATCTCTTCCTCTAAAGTTGGATAGAATGTTTTTCTCGTCACTTGCTCTTCCTTGTTTATCTTTGAAGTAATGCTTCCCCTGCCAGCAGTTCATAGGTGATAAAAATAAAAAGGAAGGTTAGCTAAGCCTGGGCTAGTATACCGGAGTGCTTTAATCGCATGAATCCAATTGTCCTCCATTCAACTCTTTTATCCAGTAAAAACCTAAAATCTCGCACATTGTATCCCCATTCTTTCTTACACTTGCGAATTGTAGTGAACGGAGTGTAATAGTACGACTATTTTTTTTCTAACCTAAGTCGCAAATATTGGTGTCACTTTTGGGGCACCTTTACAGCTTTTTGATAGCATGTGCTTTGTCATTCGATCAGTAATAAGTTAATGCAGTTGATGCATTTGTCATTGTTCAAATGAACCGAATAATGCTATTTGCTTCAAACATCAATGGAATTATAAAGAACGGTAATAAAGAATGGAATGGTTCGAGTGATATCTCTTTTTAAAGGACGACATTTAAACAATTTTTAAAACATTTTACGGTGTCGAGCAAAACCGGTTTGAAAATTATGATTTTTGGTCAAATTTCGAGCTTAAAGGTGAGCTTGCAGGCTTACATTAGCTTATTTAAGCTTAAATTAAGCTGTGAAAACTTAATTTTACTCAATTAATGTTAGTTTTTGGAGTTTTCTAGCGCCATTTTGGGAATCAAAAACTCCAAAAAAAATCTGCAAAAAATTGAATTGTTTTGAAAATTTGTTAAATTATTTTATCGATTATGTTACGTTTTTCTAGTCATTTTTCTTTGAAAATTGTTTTCCAGTTGGCATTTTTGACTATGATTGACGCTCTTTCCTAATTTTTATTTTTCGTTCAGATTTTTTTAATCACACAGCACAGAGAAAACGACACTAATATGGGAAAAATGTATTTTTCAAGACGATGGTCGGAACAATCTGTGCTACTTGCACAGTAACCGGCTATCCTTGTTTATTAATTGCAAAGTGGAGCTTGTCTTGCAAAATAGAGGCAAACTGTGGTGTGAGTCCTTTGGGGGGCGTTTCTTTTTGATATCTATAATTGTGATTAGACAGTGGTCTCTCTATTTAGGCGGTTGTTAATGTGGGTAGAATGTAGCTCCCTTGGCGCGAGTGGTTTTAAAAGGTTGATTATGAAGCCCCCAGTTCTAGATGAGCAGTGAATACTTCGTACATTTGATTGATAATTCATTCACTAAAAGCGTTATCTATTCAAAAATTGGAGATAGTTGCGAAAGTTTTGTATCAGTTTTAGTGACTTGATCGAGTCTTAGAAAACTGCTCGTTTTGATATTTAACAGGTAAGTGACCTGATCATTTGTGGTTATGTTAGAATTAAATGAAATGACACGATGAAACATATAGTACTGTTGAGTTGAGATGTTTGAAGCCTGTAATGACGTTTCGGTTTGTTGACATTTTGGCTTTTTTGGCGCCACAAAACTTCGAGCATATGTAGCCATTGAATTTTAGATAACGATGATATATTTCACTGGACTTCATTTGTTACTTTGTGGCGTGAAGATACAGTTTTTGATCTACGAATGGAGATTAAAATTGTATGAAAATGTCACAGCTGAATAATAGAAGCGAGGATGCTGCTAAAGCCGATAAAATCACGGGAGCAGCAGCGACACTGTCTTTTCATGAAGTCGGCTACAAAGTGAGTATTTTTTCTATTCTGTTCACAACTAGGTGTTTTAAATCAGATCATCTTTCAGTTTGACGATCTATTTTCACAAGTTTTCCATATTTTACAGGGGCGGATCTAGGATTTTCTCGAGGGGGGCGGATTTTTTAAAAAATGAAAATTTTGACGACCTTTTTTTTAGGTCGACAAAATTGATTTTCCGAGCTCTCCTAAAGCACTAAAAAGACGGGTGTGCTTGCAGGCAAAATTTTCAAAAAACAGGCCAAAAAGGCGTTTTTGGGCATTTTTGGAAAATTTTGACAAAAAATTGCGTTTTATCGGCGCGTGCTCCCCCTCAAAGTTAGTATATATTGGCGCCAAAGGCGCCTTTAGAAAATTTTCAGGGTCGGTTGGCCAAAAATGGATTTCTTAAAAAGTACCAAAGGGGGGAACCTTTGGGTCGGCAGGGGGTCGAATCCCTGAGGGGAGGGGAGGGGAGGGGAGGCGTTCGCCCCCCTCCCTAAATCCGCCCCTGTTTTACATTGGCTGTGGAAATTAAAAAGTAAATATATATCAGAAATGAAATAAGTTTCTCAAAATTGCATCTATTTTTATCAGCCTGATACAGAATTATTGTGATTTTTTTTAAAATCTGAAACTCTAGCCAGAGTTGCATTCCACGAGAAGCTATCCAGACTGTGAGCGTTTTTGAAAACAGGATACTTTAGGTGCAAGTGGGAAATTGTTGCAGAAAGATTGCAAATGTGATTCTGCGAGATGTCAGCGGAGTCTTTGAGCCGGGTCTAAATGCAATCATGGGCCCTACAGGTGGAGGAAAGACCAGTCTTCTGGATTTACTGGCGGGCAGGCGGGAATCAGAAGGACTGCAAGGGGACATTCTGTTTAACGGAAAGACGTTGCCGAGTGATTTCAAACTGATTTCGGGGTCAGTTCTTGGATTTTTAAGCTGAAGTTTTTGTTTTTTAGATAGTGTGAAATTGATATTGAATTGAAATATTTACACTCTGCTCCAGGAGAGAATATAGGAATGCCAATTTTTTAGATTTCTGACTAGTGCCTTCCTTTCCGCTCTTCCTCAAGAAAATTGCCCATTACATATATGTATGAATGAATGTAAAACTATGTTCATGAAATCAAAAAAAGTTGGTCTAGACTAGAAAGTCACTATATATTTTTGCCTTTTATAGGTATGTGACACAAGATGACATCATAATGGGTACCCTCACTGTTAGAGAAAATCTGCAGTTTGCGGCTAACATGAGGCTACGAAATTGCTCCAAGGAGGAAAAATTGGAGAGAGTTAATGAAATCATCCAAGACTTGGGCCTGGATAAGTGCCAGCACACTAAAGTGGGTACCGTGATGATCCAGGGCGTATCAGGCGGAGAGAAGAAGCGATGTAACATCGGCATAGAACTGGTCACTAAGCCACAAGTTCTTTTTCTTGGTAAGGCTGGAAGCTTATGAATTGCTAAAATATACAAAACATATCAGAGGTACTGAAAATGCGAACCAACTAAGAGAAATCAAACATTTTATAAAGGTTTAATCAACAATGTGATTTATTTCCTTATGAGAGCAAGTGTACTTGCAAATGGGAAACAGATTTTTCCCTTAATAATTAATTTATACAAATCGGTTAGAAATTGACCCTACAAAATCTTTCAACATCAAGATGGTTTATGCTTCAGGTGTCGGCCCGGTCTTGGTAATCTTCATTGTAAAGAACTTGAAAATTCATTTTGGGAAATTTCGAGTCGTTGGCCTCGTTTGACTATTTTTGTAAATTATTTTCCAATGCATGGATTTTCAAGGCATCATTTTTCTTCTGATTTCATCTATGATTGAAAGAAGTTTTTGTAATTTGTAAGTTTACGAATTCTGATGTTGTTAATTAAGGTTTCTATATTTTTTTCAGCTTCATTGGGTTCGGCGTATGCTATATCAACTTATTTCCCTCATTTTTGTGTCGCTTGAAGTTAAAAGTAGATATTTATGCTTTTGTGTGGTTCAGTCAATAGGAATGAGGCGTAATAATTTTCCAGGACACTATATTGTTTATGGCTGAACCGGCGTCTGCCCAAGTATTGTCGGCTTAGTTGTTGCTCGGAAATTGAACTGAAAGGAGTAAAATTTTTACTTATTGATCCAATTTTCTCAAATTGAGTTGATTGTATTAACAAAGTGTCAATTATAAAATGTTATTGAAATTCAAAGAGTTTTAAGGCCATATATTTTGTACTTTGAAGGTTGAAATTTTTCAGCTATCTGTTTGGAAGACAATTTTTTCACTTTAGTGGTTTCCGTAATATTTTTTCTCTGATAGTTCACATAGGTTTCCGTAATATTTTTTCGTAATGTTTCCGTAATGTTTTTTCTCTGATAATTCACATAGCTATGTTTTTGTTGTATCGCAAATGCTGCGAAGCTCCGCTTTGCTTTTGTGCCAAACTACACACATGCGATTAGCAAGTGTTATGAAATTAGGTACTCAATTTTTCCTTTTAACAACTTATTTAAGAGAAACTTGTTTCTTTTTTGGCGTTACTTCTTTCAAAAATCTGTATATGAATAGATACTTATACTCCATGCGTGGCTTAAAAATCTTGTAGGGTTTGAAAATGCCAGTTTTTCAGCTTAATGCACGTAAACCTAAAGTATTATGTCGACGTAGTTGCCATTCAGTAAAAAGTGCTAATTTTAACAGTAGCAAGTGCATGCAAAATTTCGGAGTCATCATTTTCCTCGATTTTCCTTTTGCTGTTGTTGTTATTTGCCCGCAAATTGTTATAGTTTTCCGCAAATTTTTAGTTGCACGCTTAATTTTTCGTCGGATTAATTCTTTTCTTTTCGGCTAATATTTTGTTATTTAACTTACGTGATTTAGAGTGATGTAAAGCCATTTTAATTTCGTTATGCTCATAGTGTTTAAGAGCAATGAACATAACGAAGACTTTTATATAGGTCTTGCTGATTTTTTTTTTTGTTTTTTTTTCAGGAAAAAGTCTTAAAATATTGATGCACTAAGGTATAATACATTTTTTGAGTTCAATTGAAATCCATCTGCTGAAAGTGACGTAAATAGTACTCTTCAAATACGAACGTGGAAATTGCGCAAAAAACGTAAACGATTTCCAGTTTCGAAAGTGGAATTTATTTTTAAGATTTTCCAGCGGAATAAAAACTTTACCTATTGTTCCAGTTTTCTCAAGTTGCGTTTATGTTATCAAAAAAGTGCCAGTCATAAATTGTTCTAGAAATTCAAAGAGCTTAAAGGGCATCTATTTTTTTCTTTGAAATTCGAAAGTTGAGGTTGTTTCAACAAAGTCAGTGTTTTTATTATGTTTACTTGCGTTCATTACTCTTTTCCAATCTTCGATTGGCTATGTTTTTAAATAAAAGATTTTTTGTTCGGCTCAAATGCTTTTCGGCTCAATATGTGAAATATATAATTATGGCTTCTTTCTGTATAGCAAATGATGCGAATCTCCGCTAAGCCTCTATGTATAATGATTGTTCGGAAATTGTCATGAAGTTTTTAATTTGACTCATTACGCAAGCGGAGCGTTGTGTAATACTACCAGGAATTTTTGTTTTTCCAACCTAGGTCGCAATTATCAGAGCTACTTTTGGTAGCAATTTTGAAGCAGGCTGCATTGGCAGTTTCATAACATTTGCTTTGGCATTCGATTGGTAATAGGTTAAAACAGCTGATGCATTTTAATTATCAAATCAAACCGAAAAAAAAATTGTTCCATACATTAGTAGTAATAAAGTTTACATAAAATTTTTCAACTCAATATTTTTTGCGAAATTTTTATACACGATTAAGCTTTATAATTTCCTATTCATTACATGCAAATTTAGTGTAGTTGGTTATGTTTTAAATTTGTGACACTTTTGCTGCTTGGCAATTTATTAGCATCTGTTTCTGTTTTGTTAGTGGCTTGCGTCAGTCAAAAATTAGAAGTCCTTTTAAGACCATTTTTTGGCAAATATGTTGGACCTGTTAACAAATGCTTGAATAAAGATTGATATCAGAGTTTCAGACATGTGGTGTTTAATTTACCCAAGCAATGTTTGTGGAGTAATAGGAGCCCACTTTTTTGATGCAACTCAAACAGATTTGATCTTAACTAGCCTGTGGTAATCTACAGAGCATTCAATGTCGCTTGCATCTTTTTGGCAGACACGGGTCCTATGCCACAGTTGTCAACGCAGTTGATTTTTAATCTGGATCGCTGGAATTTCAGTTCCGCAATCTACTGAATGTTTTTTGATTGATTTTTTTTGCTATTTTTTGCAGTTTGTTGCATTTTTACAATTTTTGGGAATTTTTGCTTCGAGAAGTTAATCATAGCTTCCGGGTTAATTTTTTGTGCTTCAGATGAGCCGACAACAGGACTGGATGCGAGTACTTCGCATAGTGTGATGAATCTACTGCGGGATCTGACTGTTCAAGGAAACAGGACAATCGTGTTCAGCATCCACCAGCCGAGATATTCGATCTTCCGACTGTTCGACCGACTGCACCTGTTATCCTCTCACGGACAGACTGTGTTCCATGGGCCAGCCAGCCAAGCAGTCGACTATTTCGCCAGACATAATCTGGTCTGTGAAACATACAACAACCCAGCAGACTTTTTTCTGGATGTCATAACACAGAATTCAGAATCATCAGATCTGAAGATAAACCTGAGCGATTCAGTAGTTCCAATCATAGAGACATGCAACAGTAATGGGAAAGCAGCGCAAATCGATTTGCCAGCTTTGTTTAAAACATCGCCCGAGAATCGATTGATGAAAAAAGTTTGCTTTGAGATCTTAGATCATAGAACTATTAGTGACAACTGTAGATCGTTGGGATACCCGATTAATTGGTTTAGCCAATTTTTCTACCTCTCACAACGATCAATCAGAAACTTGCTCCGTGAAAAACAACGTTCGATCGTACCTTCGGCCTCCATGGCTATCCTTGCTTTGGTTGTGGGTTCTCTATACTTGGACGTGGCGACTGATTTGAATGGGTTCCAAAACTTGTTCGGGGCTCTTTTCTTTGTTTCGATCCAAATGCTTTTTGGAAACGTTCCTGCGATCCAAGCTTTTATTACTGGACGGAACATATTTCTGCATGAATCGGCTAATGGTTTTTACCGAGTCTCGGCCTACTTTGTTGCTACAGTGTTTTGTGACTTATTGCCCTTACGCACGGTTCCTAGTTTGGTATTCGGAACCATTTTCTATTGGATTATTGGTCTGAAATTTAACTTGAAACTCTTCGCGTTTTTTCATTTGACGAACATTGTTACAACTATGAGCGCTTGTTCGTTGGCATTTTTCATAAGCGTAGCGTCGGGTTCTTCCACAGTAGCTAATGCATTGTTGGCGGTAATTTTTGTCATTATGATGCTGTTTTCAGGGCTTATTCTGAACGTTTCAAGCATGCCGGTCGCCTTAAGTTGGCTTCAGTATACAAGCATCTCTAGATTCTGTTTAGTTGCACATGCTGGAGCTCAAATTTCAGACTTGGAGTTCTGTGGGTACAGAACTATTATCCGGAACGGAACCGCTCACGAGGATTACTTCTGTGAGCCAGGAAAGGAGCTCCTTAGACTACAGGATATTAACTATGATACAGCAAGTCAGTGGCTGAATGTTGGTTTTCTTTTGATTTACACTGTTACTTTTTTCACTTTAGCCTATTTGTCACTCAGAATGGTGCGAAAAAATAAGTAAATTGCGTCGAAAAGAAACAAATCGTCGAAGAGCTGCCGAAATGTTTTTTTTTGTAGTGTAATTAGCTTGCTTAGATCTAAGGTGAAATAAGAAGAAGTTTGTTTTTAAATAGTAAATTGTTATTAGAATTAAGAGAAATGGGTTAAAGAAATCCTATATATTTTATTTTAAATGGTTGATTTGATTGATTCCTTAAATTAAATTTGAATTTATTTAAATAATTAGAAAATTGACTGTTTCGGTGGTTGCGATAAAGCGAGAAAATCGTTGTTTGTAGCTGAGGTTTTGATCGCATGGTAGGAAAATTTCATCTTTTGGAACGTTGTTTTTTAAAAGGAGCACCTCGACTAAAACTTGGTGTAATATTGCCCGGAGACTTGTGTATCCTTTTTAATTAGTGCATTTTCATGCAAATTGTGATCACCTGTAGACTCTCTGATTTTTTTTGTACAAATGAGATTCCGGTGGTTTTTTACACATTGAGAGCACAAATTATTTCGAATGGACCAAGTAAGGTAAATACTTCTCAATAGAAAAAAAAATTACGTGCCCAGAAATTTACTTTCATTAATTGCTCCCACAGTGACAAAACATTGGATATTTTTTTTTATGCAAACGAACTTTCTTTGCAATTTTGTCAATGAGATTTGTAGTAGAACACTAGCACTCCAGTTTGTCTAGCTTCCCTTCATGTCGATTTTAGGCCATGAA